AGTTGAGACCTGAACAAAGGTAGGAGTTGGCCAGGCAGAAGAGAACGGCACCTTAGGCTTAGGCAGGGGAAACAGCCAGTGCAAAGGTCCTGGGCGGTGACCCCAGATGGCCAATCCAGCCGGGAGGCTGGGGTGGCTGGAGCCCAGTGAATTTGGGGACGGAGGTGAGGACATCCCCAGCAGGGGGCACTGTGGGACCATGGCGGCGAGGAGAGGTGGTGCTTCGAATACAGTCCGGGAGGCCAGAGCCCTGGGGTTGAGACATGTTGATGTCCTGGGAGTGACTTCCTGACCTTCTCTGAGCCTAGGTTTCCCCTCCAGACAAACTAATGCCCAGAAGTGGGCAGCAAAGGACTACAGCTCTCCTCGACCCACCTCCAGGCCTTTGCACAAGCGGGTTCCTCCATCCAGAACATTCTCTTCTCCACTGCTTCCCACTCCCATTAAATTTTCAGTCTTAGCTTGGACGGCGGCTCCCTCAGGAAGCCTTCCCTGACTGCTCCAACCCCCCAGCCCCAGGCCGGCGCAGGGGCACTCTCTGGGCCCCCACAATGTCCTAAGCGTCCCCCATTAGGGCACCGATTACTCAGTGTTGTGGCTGCCTAGTCGCGTCGTTCTCGCAGTAGATGTTTAATAACCCAGGCGCACCTCCACACCTCCACCCTATCCGAGAAGCTCCCCGCCACTGAGCGGCCTCCAGCCCGCGTTTACATTTCCCTGCCCGGCTGCCTGGTGTCGGCCCTCGCGGGGCCTGGCGGCCAGCCCGGTGTAAACATTTACACGGAGAGCTGAAAGCCCGGCTGGACGGCGGTCAGCGCCTGGGCTTGGCCGCGGGATGCGGGGCACCCCCACGCGCGTGTTTCGGGCCGCGCAGCTGGCCCGAGCTGAGCTGAGCAGTTATTTGCGTTCTATTTGCATCTCGTTTGCATGTGATTTGCATGTGGTGGCGCGCGGGGGTGGGGTGGAGCGTGGTTAAGAGCAGTAAGGCTGGAACCGTCTCTCCCCCGCCCCATGGATGCACCGGCACTGGAGCTATGGCAGACAGTAAGTAACAAAGGACACCTATTAAGCGCCTGCTGTGTACCAGACCAGCTGCTGAGACCACGAAGGAGGCATTATAACCTCCATTTTACAGCTGGGGAAACTGAGGCACAAAACAGAGGGGCTCGGCCAAGGGCACAGCTAGGAAAGGATCTGGGATTCACACCCTGGTTCTTTGACACAACACACACCACATGGGGGGGAGCAAATTCTGTGGAGTTATTCCCAGGACCTTACGCTATTGGTGGTATTTGATAACGCCATTATTATTACTGTTGGGGGTGGTGATGGACAGTGAGCTCCCCGACATGGGAGCATGTAAGCAAACCCTGGCCCAGCCTGGAGATCTGAGGACACAGCACAAGTGCAAAGGCCCTGGGACAGGGCCATGCCTGGCTTGTTGAAGGGACCATCAAGGCAGCCCCGTGTGGCTGGAGCAGAGTGAGCGCGGGAGGAGGTGAGGGCAGGGAGGGGATGGGGACAGGTCATGCACGGCCTGTGGGCTGCGGGGAGGAGATTTCATTCTCAAGGTTGTGCAGCAAGCTGAGGTCAGCCCTTGCATTTGTCAGGTGCCCAAACCCACTGCCTTTGCTCTTAACGAGCCCCTACTTTATGCCAGATCCCAATCTACAAACTTAATGCGTATTATTAAGTCATTTCAACCTCACGAGTCCTTGTCCCCATTTTACAGATGGGGAAACTGAGACCCGGAGTGGTGAAATGACTTGCCCAGGGTCACAGAGCTGAGATTAGAACTCTAGTGGCCTCACCCAACCTGGGAAGGGGAGACAGGCAGGGAAACCCACCCAGGCTCAAGACCTCAGGTGGGCAACGCCCTCTCTGGACTCTGCACCCTGCTTGTCCTCACACCCAAGTCTTGGAGTGGCGTGCCTCGGTTTCCCTGTTAGACTGGAACAAGACCTCTGCACAGCGCCGGCCTAAAACAGGGGGCTGAGAGGGTAGATGGGTCTCCAGCCCTGAGATGGCCCAGCCACGGGAGCCCTTGGAGCCGCAGACCCCCCAGAGCTTTGATGGGGGGCAGGAAAGCAGGGGGCCGCTGTTGGAGGGGGCCCGGCAGACATAGCTGATAAGCGTCTGTTAACAATGGGCCTTTCTGTATGGGGGTCACCCAACTGGTTTGTCTCTGGCACAGACCTGACAGGGAGCAGGTGTGGTGGAGGGCACAGGGAGGGGACCAGGTGTGCACGATGTGTGTTCTTGTGTCAAGGGGAGGCGGGCACTCACACGGCACACTTGGGGGCTCACCCTCACACCCAGCGTTCCCATGCTCACATACGCTCTGACCCACTCACACACACACCCTCTCACATGTGCCCAAACACTGTTGCACACACACCCTCAGACACTACCCCGCTCACATATTCCGACAGGCTCTTGCACGCTCAGATGCCATCCCGCTTACACACTCAGTGTTCTCACACACCCTCAAACACTCACACACCTGAACACCACCACACTCACATGCTAGTGTGTTTCACTCTCACACGTGGGCATTTTATGCACAAACATGATCACCCTCGATCGAGTGCTACCACTCCCACACTAGCATTTGCACACGTGCACACAAACCCTCTGACTTGCACTCAGGAGCTCCCCCAATCACACCCCTTACACTCTCTCGTGCCCGTGGAAGCTCCTGCACACCCTCGATACTCACACTCACACACTCAAGCACCTTCACACTCAGAGATACATTGTCTCTTGCACACTGACACAGAGAATGGGCACACCACACACATGCCTCCTCCAAGCCCTCCTGTGAGCACTTGAACTTGAACTTGTACGTGCACGGGCGTGCCCATCATCACCTGCATCCCGCATTCCAGCCACGTGCACACACACCCGGGGGGGCACACACATGAACACATTGCCAGTGCTGGCGGGCCCTCGGCTGCAAAGATTCTGGGGGGAGAGTGAGAGGCACAGACACAGGCTGCAAGTGTGAAGAAGGGAAGGGGGGGGGGGGGCAGAGTGACCCAGGGGAAAGGGCTACTGGTACCCGGCCCAGCCCCACACCTGCTGGCATTTCAGGTGCCACCCATCTGCCCAGACAGGGCCTGGCCCAGGGTCCCCTCCCAACCCAACAATGTCCAGACCCTGGAGAATCCTCACTGCCCAGGGAAGGGGGCACCTCCCTTCCTGGGGGCCAGGCCCGTCTGAAGTGCAGCAAGAGGGATCTGGGATAGACTTCCACTTCTAGCTGGAGGCCACAGAGTGCCCGGGGCTGGGGCAGGGAAGGAGGAGAAACTGAGGCTCAGGGGAGATGAGTAGCCCACAGACACAGCCAGGTGGAAACCTCCAGTTATTCAGAGAGCAGAGAAGTAGGATGAGGGTGTGTGGGTGTTTCTGGCAGCTTCCTTGATGGTACCAGGAAACACTGCTTATTATCTTGATGTCCTGGCTAAGTTCCAGGGCTCCACCTTTCCATCGAGCTTCCCAGGGAACACCTGCCAGGCATGCCTGTCCATGGGGTCAACAGCCTTTGTCCTGCAGAGCTCCTGACCTCAGGAAGGAAACTACTTCATGCTTGTTCCCAGGAAGAGGAAGGAGGGGAGGGGAACCCTCCTTCCATCCACTCATCTCTCTAGTCTGGGGAGGCCTGGAATCAGGGCCTGGCTCCATCAGGCAAACTCCTACTCATCCTTCAAAGCCCCAGCTCTTAGAGCCCCTCCTCCAGGAAGCCATTCCTGCTCCCCATCTTGCCCCCTCCCAGCCTCAGTTCCCTCCCTCTTGCCCAGTTCTGCCAAAATAGTGTCTGTGTCCACGTCTGTCTTTGCTGGACGGTGGAGGTGCTTCTGGAGGGGCACCCTGGGCTGGGTCCTCTGAAGGCAAGGGCGGGCTTTGGTAATTCCATCCACCGTTGCCAGGTGGAGCTGTGGTGCCTCCTTCCACGAGCACAGTTCTTCCTCTGCACTTCACTCCCAGACATGTCTCTGGTCCTCCTATACCTCTGTTTCCCCAACTTCAGAAAGGGCCTGAGGCGGGCTGCCCAGAACTGTGGGAATGAGCGGGTGGCTTGTGGGGCTGTCATCACTGCCCACAGGCAGAGCGAGCCAGGCTGGGAAGCCACATGGGCAGCTGTGGGGGCGGCCTGCACATGTGGGCCAGCCCTGAGGAAGGATACTTTCGAATGCTGTGGCACCTGGGGTGCAGACAGCTGAATCCGCACCCCCATCTGCCTCTTCCTGGCTGGATAACGTGGGAGCAAGCTCCTCCCCCTCTTGGAGCCTCAGTTCCCCATCTGTACAAGGGGCTGCACAGGACACCTTGCTCATCTGGAGGGCCGTTTCATTCAGTGAGGTCCTGCAGGCCTGGCCGATGTCCTGCAGCAGCTAGGCCCCGAGCATCAGGCACGTGCTTGCACGCCCTTAATTCCGTTTCCTCCATCAGTGTTACAGGTCTGGGGCTGGCAGCTGGGCCCATTCCCAGGGCAGCCCTGTTCATCTCCTTTCCCCCAGGTGGCCCCAGGGGGTTCCCTAGGGTTCCATTAATGGGGAAACTGAGGCCCCATGAGGGGCGGGACTTGCGCCTCTCTCAAGACAAGATTCAATGGTTCTGCAAAACAAGAAACAAATTCCACAGGCCACAGAAATGTGCCCCCTCCCTTGTAGGGCCCAGGGCCCAGCCCTACCCCATGGTGGGAACCGGGAGGCTGGGGCAGGCGCAAGCTGGCGACGCACATCTGGGGGTAAACCAGGAACATCTGGCTAGCACAGCTGGTTCCGATGTCACATCTGCGGGGGTCGGGGGCCAGCCTGTGGGGCGGCCTCATGGGAGGGTGCAGGCACAGACACCCCCAGCAGAACCTTCCAGGCCTGCCCAAAGGTGGGAGCCCAGCATCTCCTTTTCTTCCCCCAGTCCAGGAGCTGCCTGCTGCCCAATCGCTAGAACCATTGCTGGCTCCCTGCTACTCTGAGAATCAAGTCGCGGGTCCTGAGCTTGCCTTAAGGGGATCTGGGTCTATCTTTGCCAAAGTGAGGCTGAGGGGTGGACATACAGAGAGGGTGATTTCTGGGGAAGACTGTGTTGGCTGCTTTGTGTTAATAATAGTAGTAAAAAAAATTAGCTAATACTAACACTAGCAAACAACACCATTGGTGCTGTTCTGAGCACTTTACATGTAGTGCCTCATAGAAAGGTGTGGACCATTTTATCACCATTTTGTAGACAGAAAAACTGAGGTCCAAAAGACTGAAGTGACTTCCTCAGGGTCCAACAGAGCATAAATGGCCAAGCTGGGTTTTGAACTCAGGTGGTTGGGCAAACTCCTACTCATCCCTCAAAGCCCCAGCCTCAATGCCCCCTCTTCCACATTCTTGACCACTGTACCATATGGCCTCCCTAATAACAACAACAAGACCAAGAATAATAACACTAACACCTGGCAGTGTTGGCTATTCCATTTATTTAGTGCCAAGCACTCTGCTAAGTGCTTTCCACATGTTTGATTATCCCCGCAGTCCCTGGAAAAGATGTTATTATTATTATTATTAGCCCCATTTACCACACAGGGAAACTGAGGCTTGGAGAGGTAGAGTGACTCACGCAAGGTCACACAGAAATTAAGTGGCTGAGCTGCGGTTGAACCTGGGTCTGACTCTAAACTTGTTCTCTCAGTGTCTCCACAACCCCAGTAACGAGGGTGATGCTGGGGGGAAAGGGAGAAGCAGGGTCTTGCTGCTTGGGAGGCCAGTGGGGCTGAGATCCAAGGAAGTAAAAGGTTTTCTCAAAGACACACAGCAGAGCAGAACTAGCAAGTAAACAGATGGCCCACATGGCAGAAAGCCCAGTGTGCCAGGCTGGGTTCTGCTCCCAACATATTCACCCAACACTTATTGAGTGCCTACTGTGTGCTGCACTAGTCAGGGAACTCAGGATGACCAAGGCCAACCTGGGCCCCCATCTTCGCCAAGCTCACCATCCAATCAGGGAGATGGATAATAAAAAAAAAGAAAGAAAGAAGGTAATTTAGGGAATTCCCTGGTGGCCCACTGGTTAGGACTCAGCGCTTCCACTGCTGGGGCCCCAGGTTCGATCCCTGGTTGGGGAACCTAAGATCCCGCAAGCCACACAGCCAAAGAAAGAAAGAAAGAAAAGAAACAAGGTAATTTAGAGGTTGACAGTGCAACAACAGCCCCCAAATAAAACAAGGTGAAGCGATAGTGACTGGTGCTGCTTTTAAGCTGAGTGGTCAAGGAGGGCTTCCCAGAGGAGGCAGCATTTGTGCTGAGCCCACATGAAGATCTAGGAAGAGTGTTCTAGGTGGAGGGAACCACACGAGCAAAGGCTCAGAGGCAGGATGATGGCTTTTCAAGGGGACCAGTGTGACCAGAGCAAACGGCCAGGGGACAGCACAGGGAGATGAGGAAAGATAAGGGGGTGTCCTGTGCCCCGCAGGGTCAGCCCTCCATTCCCCACCAGTGCCTGGAGCCCTCTTCCTGTACCGGCCGCTACTCGGGCGTGTTCTTGGGAAGGCTGGGCCGGGGAGCATGCGCGCGCGCGTGTGCGTGTGTGTGTGTGTGTGTGTGTGTGTTGGGGCCACTAGCTTTTCAGACCCGCCGTTTCTGGCCCGGCCCTCTGCAGCTGGCCCGTAAAATTCCCACCTCAACCATACCAGGCGGGTCTGGCTTAGCCAGGCTGGTCTGGGACCGGCCTCGCAGGCATCTGGGGCAGGCAGGGGGCCCTCCCTGGGGGTCAATAACAGGATCAGCCTAATGAGGCCTGGCACGGCTAAGCAGCTGGCATGGGGCCCGGTGGGTGGTGTGAGGGACGTGGGTCCTCCGGGAGTGGCCAGGAGGACACCACACAAAGCTGACCATCTGACAGAAAGGGAAACCAAGGCACAGACCCCAATGCAACTCAAACCCTCACACTGGTTTCCTAGGAACCAGGGGACCTAAGTCACCTCTTCCATGTCCCCAAGTTCAAATTCTGCCTTGGGTCCCTGACACACTGAGCTCTTTCAGCACGGCCCCTCTCTGGGCCTCGGTTTCCTCAACTGGGATGTGAGATCCACCTGCTGGATTTCTTCCAGGACCAGCCAAAGCCTGAGTTCACTTGGATTTGAAGGGAAGATCTTTCCGCTCCTGAACACCCACGCCGAAGTGTCCCAGGCCCCATTCAGGCTTACTTTGCGGCTGTTACCTCTCCTGAAAGTCCAGGAGGCTGGCTGGCTGGTTTGAAAGCCTCCTGTCCACCCCCTAACCTGCACCCCTGCCCTGCCAAGTGCAGCAGGCACCGGGCCTGTCTTGTTCTCTGCTTCGTCCTACTACACAGCTTGGCACACAGTAGCTTAGGGCTTGGGAATTAATTACATTGAGCATAAGGAAAGATCCCTCCAGCTCGCTCAGCCTCAGTTTTCTCAGCTGCGAAATAGAACCAGCCTCCCATGGCGCCTGCTCAGTTGATGCTCACAGGGCAGAGGGAAGACCCAACTCCCCTCGAGGGCCCCAGACCCCTCTGCCCCACCTTGGGGGACCAGGAAAATTGCATCTGCAGAGGAATCCCACAGCCTCTCAGCAAAGACAGCTGGGCCCAGGGATGCCAGATGCATTAAAGACCCGTTCCTCTCTCTGTGTTTCCAGCCCCCATCTCTAGGAATCCGTCCTTGAAGGCCCCAGTACAGTTCTCCCTCTGTCAACCTTTCAGAAAAGTCTCTCCCTCCCATGGTCACCCCAGGCACCCTGGATTTTCCAAAATCATCCATGCTATTTCCTGCCTCCAGATCTTTGCATATGCAGTTCCCACCACCTGGAATGCCCTTGCCTTTCCCATTTAGAGAACTCCTACTCATCCTTCATAGCCCCAGCTGCAATGCCCCTCCTCCAGGAAGTCTCCCCTGACCCTCCTACCCTGAGGTAGTGCCTTTGCTCCCCACTCTGGGCTCCACCCTGGATTCAAGTCTGGAAGGACAAGGCCCAGGAGCCTGACACCAAACAGAGTCACGCACATCATCGCTGTCCAACAAACATTGGTGGAAACAATGTCTTGATTGTGTCCTTGTGCCTGGCTGCAGACTGTTTGGTTCCCTCTCCTGTTCCAGGCTCTTGAAAGCTATATCCTCTTCTCACCCCCCTGAAAACTAAGGCCTATAACCTGAGGGACAAGCAGTGATGGTGGAATTTCAGACACTGTGCCCAGCTGCAGGGGGGCATGTTTTGTTTTCTTCCCTGCACCCCTGGAACTAGCTCTTTGCAGGTCGCTGGGAGTGGCTGCAGAACCCCGAACCTCAGCAGTCCTAGAATGAAGGGTGTGGGGAGGGGTGTCCAAAGGGCCCAAGGCAAGGGGCTGGGGGGTGGGGAGAAGCTGGCAAAGCTGGGAGTCTCCCCCCACTGACATCCGCCTAGACCAGTCACGCCCCATTGGGGCTTCCTCAGCCCGGGGCTCTTAAAGACAAAGAGTGTCATGGAACAGACAGAAAAGGATGCAGGGCCGGGGGCGGGGGGGTGGGGGGTGAGGGGGCGGGGCATAAAGGAGTGAGGAAAGTCAGGGGTCTGGCCTTCCATGCCCCCCACCTAGGCCCCTGGTCCTGCTCCCCAAATCTGGGCTGGTGGCCCAGCCATGCAGGTAACCACAGGCCCGCTGAGCCAGGCCAGTGGCCCCATGCTATATGGATGCTAGTACTTCTTGGGGAGGGGACCATGGTGACTTCCACCCCTGGGAGAGGCCACTTCTCTCTCCAGTCCCAGCCCACATCTGCCCACTGTCTGCAGCCCCCTCGGCCTAAAGACTGCGAACTGACAAACCGCACCTTCTGGGAGAATTCTGAGACCATCCTGAGCAAGATGCCTTTTGTAAAAAGCGAGGAAGGAAGACAGCCTCCTCTCCTTCAAATCCGGTCTTTGCCGTTAAGCGCCCCCCCCCCGCCCCCCGCAAAGGGTTTCGCGCCCTCTTGTGGCTAAACAAGCGGCTCCAGGAGCTGAGAGAGCTAGGCCCTTACCGGAGGACACCGTGTCCCCGGCGGCAGCGGCGGCGGCGCGCAGGGAACGCGGCTGGAACGCGCCGCTGACAGATGTTTACTTCTGCGTGCAGCTGGGCCGCGACGGCAGCCCTCCGCCCAGGGTCTGCGGGATCCGGATGCCCCCCGCGGCCCCTTGTAGACCACAAGGCATAAGGGGTGTCTGGGTCTCGCCCTCCTAGAGGCTGGGGAGGGGATTCCGGCTGCCCCTGCTTCCACCCCTCTCCAGACGCTCCCAAGGGCGTCCGAGAAGGCAGAAGCGCTCCCGCCTCGTCGGACAGGGAACCCCCCCTCTCCTGGCCAGACCCTGGGTTGGAGAGAAGCTTAAGATCGCCCTCCCGCTCCCCTGCCACGCGCGGACCTGTCGCCCCTTGACCATACCCTCATACACACGCTGGTTCTTGGCTAGAGGCGGGAAACTACCGATCTACCCGGAGTCCCTGGAAGCCCTCCCAATCTCTGTCCCTGGGGCCGGTCCTCCCCCCGCGCCGGTACCGCGCGGGCCCGCCGTCTGCCCTTGCTTACCTGCTCCGGGCGCCCGATTAGCCGTCAGTGGCAGCCGCGCCTGCCGCCCGCGTCGGCCCCAGCCCCTGCCCCTGCCGCCGCGACCGCCATCCGGGCCGCCTGGGCCCGCGGCGCCCGGGGGGCCCCGGGCCGGAGGGGGCGGCCGCGGGGCGGCCGCGGCGCGAGCCGGCCCATGGGGTTCCCCCGGGCTCGCTCAGCCGCGGGCTGCGGCCATCCCCGCCCGGTGGAGGCTGGGGCTGAGGGGGTGCCCTGGACGGCCGGCGGCTCGGAGGGCGCGGGGTGCAGGGGCGCACGGACGGCGCGGGCGGCTTCGGCGCGCGGCGCGGGGCTCCGGGGCGGCGGCGCGAGGGGCCCGGGCGCTCGGAGCGGCTCCACGGCGCTCTGTCCCGCCGCCTCCGCCGCTCCCGCCGCGGACAGCTCGGCCGGCGCGGGGACGGGGGCGGGGCCAGGGGCGGGGCCAGGGGCGGTGGCTCGGATTTCCCGGGACAGGGAGCCGCCCCCGCCCCGTCCCCTCCGACCGAGGGTGCCTGAAGAGCGCAGGTGGCAAGGGTGCGGGGCCACAGCACACCCCTAGACAGCGTTGTCCCCCGGCCCCAGAGACCCCGGCGGCGATCCTTTAGAAAAGCCAGGGCCCCAGAATGCCCCCTCCGAGGGCCCCTTCCCAGAGGTAAGAGCCACAGCGCCCCTGACACCAGTCCCTCGACCTTCAGCGTCCCCCCACTCCATTGAGAACCTGGTCTTACTGCCAGACCCCTCCCCCACGTCCTGCCCGGTCCCCTTCCGGAAACAAGTGCCAAAGAAGTCCCTTCACCAAGGAATCCCCTCGGGGGAATCCCCAGGACAGAGTCCCTCCAGATTAAAAGTTTCCCATCCCCGCTCCAAGAACCCCGACGGCGCATCTTCCGTAAATCCGGGACCTCTCAAAACCCCTCCTCAGATCCCCCTTCGCGGAATTAAGAGCCACAACACTCCCCTGGCCGGCGGTAATCATGGCCCACAATTTCCCCGCACCCCACTGAGTACTCTGGGGCCCCTAGTCCCTCCCCAGGTCCTCTTTCAAGAAAGCAAAAGAAGGCCCCTTTCTAAGAAAGTCATTCCAGAGAACTGAGACGCAAAGTTTTCCCCTAAAACAGCAAGTGATACCCTAAGACTGACGACGACGCCCGCTGTCCACAGCGCCCCTCATCAAGTGGCACTTCTCCCTAGTCTGGCGTCCGAGCCAGATCCTGCGGGGGGATACCTTTCCCACCCCCGGCACCCGACGGCGCTCTCCCGAGCACCAAGGCCCAGGGCTGCCCCCGACCCGTCAGCGAGCCCAAACCCACCCCGCCCCCTCCCCGACGGCTCCGCGTTCCCAATGCGCCACCTAGCGGCCCCCCAAGCTGACTCAGGGGCGGGACTGTGGTGGGGTGGGCGGGGCTGGACCCTCCATGGCCCCGCCCCGCCCCGGCCTAGTTACTGAGAAACACCCGCCGCGCAGCCCGGCCCTCGGCCCGCAGCACTTAGGCTCCTGCCCGCAGTGTCCCCGCCGCTGCCCGCGTTCCTGGGGCCGGGAGCTCTGGCTCTCACTCCCGCCGCCTGATTTCTTGGGGCCTCCTCACTCTGACTCAGGCCGTCTGCATTCCTCTGATCCCAGCAGCCTGGGGGTTTGTAAGGGCGGGCATTAGGTCTTCCTAAGACCCCCACCCCCACCCCAAAACACACACACACCCGCCAGCGGCCTGTGCAACTTGCATTACTACGCAGTGTACGTGGTGACAGGGGACACTCAGGCAGCATCACCCGCTGTGAGCGGGCTTATGCGGGTGTGGGTCGCGCTGGATGCGTGAGCAGGTTGTAGCCCGATTATGAGTTTGTGGGTGGGTGAGTGGGGGCATGAGGGTGAACGTGTGTCAAAGCGGCAGCGCGCCCATCACGGTCCAGGATGGAAAGAACAGGGGTCTGTGCTCGCCTCTCCGTGCCTCGTTTTCCCCATCTGTAACAGGGGGTATTAGCAGTAGATCCTACTAGGGCTGCAGTAAGGATCAGATGAGTTTAGTACGAGTAACCATGCCCGCTGGAGGTGAGCAATGCCCAAGCGTCTGTCACTACTGGTGCCGCTAAGGACTCACTGTCAGTGACACGTACACCCTGGCCTGAAGGGAAGGCTGAGGCACTGGTGGCCGTTCACGCACAGACCCCCAAACCTTGTTCTAGGCAGGGTCACACCCAGCACCATCCTCGTTCTCACACATACCCGGACACCCTTCTGAGAACAGCGCCATCCCCATCCCTACACACACACACACACACACACACACACACACACACACACACGCACGCACGCACGCACGCACTTCCTTGTAGAGACACAGACACACGCTTAGCAGCCCACTGGCCCTCAGAGCAGCTCCAGGGGCGACTCCAGGGGACAGGGTAGGATTGCTCCTGCACACGTGTACACTCGGCGGATCGTTACACACACACACACACACACACGCTTTTCACACAAAACCCTCTGACACTCACACTCAACCCCGAGTGCCGGGTGCCCACCCCACAGCCATGCACGCACAGGAATCGAGGAGACCCTGCTGCTGTGCACACTTGGGCGCACATGCACATGCTGGGCTGGTCCGGGAAGCACAGCCCCCCTGTATACACGTAGCCAGACCAGGAGCCCACCCCCACCCCGGCCAGCCACCGTTAAGCTGTCACCAGCTGCCCCTTGGCCGCCTCTGCTTGCTCACCCTTCCCCGGCTGGGCTGGGGGCCATGGGAGAGGGGGCGTGCAGACACGTGGGGTGCAGGACACACACATGTGCCCACCATGTGGATGCTTGTAAAACGGTTGCCCTGGTAACAGCGACTTGAAAGACTCGGTTCTTCCTCCGGGGTGAGCAGGGGCAGGGGCGTAGGGGCGGGGCCCCGGGGGGCGAGTAGGACCCATGCCCGCCTTCCACCATGGGGAGACCCAGTCATACTCCGGCCTGGGAGGAGACCCCTCCACACTCAGGGACACACACATTGACCCAGTCACACACGGAGAAGCCTCCCCATCACACTCAGGCCCCCAGAGACCCTGCCTGGCTCGGTGCCGGCCCCACGTGATCACACCAGACACAGGTGTGACGCCCTCGCACACCAGTGTGTCACCTCATACAACCGAGCACCCCGGCTACTCTCTGTCGCCAACCACAGGCTTTGTCACCCCCTGGACAGGTGGTGACAGACGGACACCCTGTCACACTGGCTGACTCACATGTAGCGGGAACTGGGGCACACACGGGCATGCCCACCTTTGGCCCCCACTCCCGTCAAGGAGCCGTCTGGGCCCAGCTGCCTGGGAGGCGGAGGGGATTCAGGGGCTGGTTCCATTTGCAGGAAACACGGGTATTTACAATGCTTTATTTTTAAACCTTCCTTGTTCCAGACTGGGTCTGCTGTGGGGCAGGGTGGGTGGAACTCAGCCTTGAACCTCCCACGCTGAAAGTGCAGCCCGTGGCCAGGGACTGTGGTCTCCCCAGTGCACGGATGGTGGGGAAGAAGCTCAGCGAAGAGCAGGGGGCACCCAAGGGCCTGTGGCCCCTGGGGCTGATTTGAGCTTGCTGGCCCCAAGGTCAAGGCTGAGGCAGGGGTGGGACAGTGCAGGGGCAGCCAGAACCCAGGCCCCGCCACTTGCCCGCCCCCACCCTGGTGTTTGCCGGGAAATTAGTTCCACTCCTTCACTGCCTCCTCACCCGCCCCCCCAGGTAGCTCCAGGCAACGCCTCTCCTTCCCCAGCGTACTTGGAGCCCACGTGGCATGAAAACCGAGGATCAGAGAGGTCAAGACACTGGCCCAAGGTCGCACAGTGAGGCGGAGGTTCATATCTGGGGCTGGATGACTCCAGAACGTTCAGCCATGGCCCCCAGCTGCTTCTCCACCCCTGTCCCCTGGGGGCTGGCCCCCTGCCCTCCCCTGATGGTCACTGCTCCCCAGGGGGAGTGGGGAGTGTTCTGTTCATGTGTGGAGCCCTAGGTGGAGGTTTTGGGAGGCCAGCATCCGCTGGCCAAGACGCAGACTTGGCTGGTGGAGAAGTTTCCATCTTAGCGCCAGGAGCTGGTCCAGGCCCTGCAGGCCCAGGGCTGCACCTCGGGGACCCCTCCAGGGAGCAGCCCCATAGGGGTGGAAGTGGCCCGGCACCCTCTGTGTCCTCTGTCCCTTCAGCTGCCCCCCAACCAGAGCATCACCCCACAATAAGCGCTGGTGGCTGAGCTTTTGCTGATCCTCAGTTTCCCCATCTGTGAAATGGTGCCCAGGGCAGACCCGCGGCTGTGGGAGGTGAGTGTTGTCTTCCCATGGAGACATGAGGGGATCGCCCGGGGTCACTGGGCCAGCTCCGCACAGGGCTGCTGATTACCAGCTAAGAGGTTCCCTGAAACCAGGTTTCGGGGCTCTTGACTTGACCAAGTTCTCCTCACCGAGAGCTGGGTGATGCTGAGGGCCCAGAGAGGCCTCAGCCCCTCCAGGGAGCGCAGCTGGACCCCCACACCTAGCTGGGGGTCAGAGCAAGGAGCCAGCCCGACTGGCTGGAATGGGGCCCACGAGGCCTTGTGGGTGGCAGGAAGGAGCTGGCTGGTTCCAGAAGAGGATGGGAAAAGCAAGGTTGGCAGCCATCCCCACAGGGCCATTTGCAGCCGCAGGTCACAGATCGAGGGCCCTGTCCCTGGGGGGGCCCACGTCGGCAAGGCGGGAAAGCCATCAGGCCTGGGGGCAGAGGGGTGGGGAGGTGGGTGGGGTAGGCCTTGGGGTTGGGGGACACCTGAGAGGTGCGGCCCGGGCTGAAGACCTTATGGGAGCTTACAGACCGCCCCCCCACCCCCGAGAAGCCACAAATGCGTGGACACTATGTGTGTATCCACGCACGCACGTCCAGTAGACACACAGACACACGCTCACAGACTTAAATACGCACATCGACACGCTGACACACAATTACACACACAGATGTCCCCCAAAGTCAGTCATACTCTGCAAATGCGTATACGCCATCACACACACTCACACAGACACACATAGTACACACGCACACACTCAGATGTGTACGGCAGCCCCAGCCCCCGAGGCTCACAGGTGCCACATACATCCCAGCACTCCGGCTCTTGTCACCCGCCAGCCTGGCCCTGCCTTCTCTCGTCCTTGGCCCGGGCTGCCCTAATCCTGGTCTCGTGTCCTGAAGCCAGAAGATAAGGGGCAGCTGCAGCCCCAGATAAAAGAGGCGCAGCCACAAATCCGGGGCGGCCCCGGCGGCAACGGGCAAAGAGCCCAGGCCACACCTGCCCTGTGCTTCCCCCCCTATCTGGCCTGGTTGAGAGGGACAGAGAGAGGGCAGGGGAGACAGAGACGTGGAGGGAGAGAGAGACAGAGGGGGGAGATGCCTGCGGGGGGGCGGGCAGCAGAGAAATGGAGACAGATGCAGAGAGAGAGAAAGATGGAGAGAGACAATACACGGGGAAAAGAGAAATGCAGAGAAAGATATGAGATAGACACACAGAGAGAAGGAAATACAGAAAGAGACCCCCAAAAAACTGAGACAGAAACAGGAAGAATAAAAGAAAGGGACAGAGGCAGGGGGAGCCCCAGTGACTGGGCTGAGTGCCAGTGGCACCTTCCCAAGGCTCTGCCCACCCCCTCCTGGGTGCCTCAGTCTCTCCACCTGCTCGGGGCCCCAGCGCGACCTGCCTCCCTCCTGCTTCCTCAGATCAGCCAAGGTCAGGCATTGGTACGACTCACGCCTGGTTCAGGGTTGGCGGGGGACATCTTTCTCAATGTCCCCACGCTCTCCAGACTGACACCCGGGAAGTCCTCAGCTTCCTGCCAAATCCTCAGTGAAGGTGGGACCCCCCACCCAGCAGGTCCTGCCCCCTGTGCCTCAGTTTCCCTAGCTATGACAAGATGCATTCACTCAGCAAATGTTCACTGAGCATCTACTGTGTGCCAGGCCCGGTGCTGCATGGTGGCAACACAGAGTGACCAGAGCAGACCTGACTCCCACCAGCCCTGGGCTCATAGTTTAATGGGGAAGATCCTCAACGCATCCCTTTTCCAGAGAAGGAGAAGTTGAGAACAGAAGGGTGAGTGGAATGAGCAAGGTGACTGGGTGCAGGGAATAGTGTTCCTGGGAGAGGGAACAGCATGTGCAAAGGCTGGGAGGTAAGACTGGCTCATGGGAGGTCTGGAATGAACTTGGTGCTTGAGTTTAGGGAGTGAGGAGGTGAAGAGGGATGAAGCTGGGGAAGGCAGCAGGGGCTGGATTATGCAGGAAACTTGGGGCTGTGGTACAGGGCTGGGGCAGTAGGGAGCCATGGAAGGATTGGGAGCAGGGGAGGGCCATGGTCAGATCTGTGTTTTAGAAAGAGCTTTGGGAGGCTGGGCTGTTGGGGGCAGGATGGGAGATTGAGACCTTGGAAGGGGTGTTGGTGGGAGAGGGGATAGACTATAGAGAGACCCTGGAGAGAAAGCCGGGAGGACATGGGGACTGACAGGCTGTTGGGAGAGAGACAGGCAGGGAGGCTGATGCCCAGGTCTCTGGCTAGACGGTGGGGCAGCCCCTGGGCCAGGGGCCTCTTCAGCCCGTGGATTCAGGTAGCGTTGGGATGAATACCTGTTCCCTCCACATAAGATCAGAGAGAAGAGTAACAGAGTTAATACATGAAAAGACCTTAGGACGGAGCCTGGCATACAGTAAGTGCTCAAAACTTGTCTAGCTACCAGTAAATGATTAATATTACACCATTATAATAACATAATAAATAATAACAATTAACAGGAATTCCCTGGCGGTCCAGTGGTTAGGACTTGCGCTTTCACTGCTAGGGCCTCAGGTTCAATCCCTGGTTGGGAAACTAAGATTCCGCAAGCCGCGCAGTGCGGCCAAAAAAAAAAAAAAAAGCAAGCAATGAATAGTGTGTCACTTATATTAATACCATAGTTGTTAATGGCCAGTCCACAGTCTCCCTTTCTCCCCCTCCCCACAGGAAGCGTTCCGGGATTGCCTTACACAGAGGAGGCAGGTCATCACAGGGCACAGCCAGGGAGCCCTAGGAGGGTTCTCCTTGGAGGCTGAGGCTCAGAGAGGGGAGGCTCATTCCTGAGGTTGCCCTCTGTGGGCCTCGGTTTCCCCACCTGAACAATTGTCTCCCCAGAGTGGTCTGGGTGCCCCTGGGATGATGTCAGGGAGACGATGGTAGAACCTCAGGAGGCAATGGGACGGGCACCTCAGGAAGAAGCGAGCTCTCGTCCCTGGAGGTGGGTAAGGGGGGCTGAGTCTCCCAAGGACCGCTGTGGTTGCTTCCAGAGTCCCCGACTCCACTGTTTTATTCCCAGATTGTCCTATAGAGGGCGGCAGAGGCCAGAGATGGAAGACAAGCTGCTCCCTGCCCCCATTCCATTCTCTCCCAGGTCTTGGAAAAGCTGGTGCTGAGCCTGTTGTGGGCTCAGGCAAATCCTTTCCCTCCTCAGGCCTCAGTTTCTCCATCTGTCACTCAAGGAACACAGTCCCTGCCTCACTTCCTGCTCAGGGAAAGCTTTGTCAAGTTTAGCGGTGAAATGCAGGGGGGAGCTAAGGGATTGGTTATTCCCTTTGTGCACTGTGTTCATGTAATTCAAGGCAAATTATAGTAATAAAGTAACAGTAACAACAATAGTCATTAATATTTGTTGATTGTTATTTATTGAATCCTTACTTTCTAAAAGAGATATTTCTATCAGCCCCATTTTTCCGATGAGGAGACTGAGGCACAGAGCAGTTAAAGGACAAGGTTCTGGACTTCCTTGGTGGAGCAGTGGTTAGGAATCTGCCTGCCAATGCAGGGGACATGGGTTTGATGCCTGGTCCGGGAAGATCCCACATGCCGCGGAGCAACTAAGCCCGTGTGCCACAACTACTGAGCCTGTGCTCTAGCCCTCGAGCCACAACTACTGAGCCCACGTGCCACAACTACTGAAGCCCAAGCGCCTAGAGCCCGTGCTCCGCAACAAGAGAAGCCACCGCAATGAGAAGCCTATGCACCGCAATGAAGGGTAGCTCCCGCTCGCCGCAACTAGAGAAAGCCCGCGTGCAGCAAAGAAGACCCAACGCAGCCAAAAATAAATTTTATAAATAAATAAATAAAGTTTTAAAAAGGACAATGTTCCGGGACTTCCCTGGTGGTCCAGACTCCGAGCTCCCAATGCAGGGGGCCCAGGTTCGATCCCTGGTCGGGGAACTAGATCCCTCATACATGCTGCAACTAAGAAGCCCATGCCACAACTAAAAGATCCGGCATGCTGCAACTAAAAGATCCTGCATGCCACAACGAAGATCCCTCATGCTGCAACTAAGACCCGGCGCGGCCAAAAATAAATATTTTAGGGAAAAAAAAAAAAAGGACAATGTTCCCAGATGGTAAGTGAAAGTTCTGGGATTCGAAACTGGCAGGCTGAGTCCAGAGCCCTGAGGTCCCTGTACTACATCAAGGCTCTTTCAGCAACAGGGAGCTTTAGGAGGGTGCAACAGGGCATGGTGGGGACTGTGGAAAATGACTAGATTCCGCTGTCCTTGGCTGTTTGCCCTCCCACTTCCCTCGGGGTAAAATCCCAAGTTCTCCCAAAGGCCCACAAGGCCCTGCAAGACCTACCCCCTTCACCTCCCTGCCCTCACCTCCTCCCTCTTTCCCCCTCCCTCACTCAGCAGCAATCACACAGGGCTCACTGTTTCTGCAACACACCAGGCACGGTCCTGCCTCAGGGCTTTTGCATTGGCTGTTCCCTCAACGTGGACCACTTTTTCCTCTGATATCCCTATTTCGCTCCTTCACTTCTTTCGAAAATACTCAAATGTTACCTTCTCAGTGAAGCTTTCCCTGACCATTCTATTAAGAACTGCAACCACCAAAAATGGCTTTCCCACTTCCCCTTCCCTGCTTCATTACTGTCCGACATACAGTATACCTTACTTATGTATTATGTCCATTGTCTTCACCACTCCTATCTCAGCTTTTAAAGGCAAGGAGTTTTTGGTCTGTTTTATTCACTACTGTATCCTTAGAATCTAGGACAACATCTAGCACACAGGCACTCGATGAGTTATTTGTTGAATGAACGCCCTAAATAAAAGTAGCAGTATTTAAACAATTAAAAACCCCATCAGGAAATCAAAACACTTCTGTGGGCCGATTGTGGCCGGCGGGAAGCCAGTTTCAGAGCCCCAAGCAGATTACTGAACGTTCCGGTTTCCGCAAAGGGCTCAGAGGTATAAACGGGACCCGAGGCCCCACCCACTGTTAGGCTCCGCCCAACTGCGTCGACGCGCATACAATGGCGTCACTTGGAGCGACCCAGGCATGCGCATTCCACCAGTAGACCGGGGAAGACACACGCGCGACCCGGAAGGCCTCGCCGCAACACTCCAAAGCGGGTGTGAGGGGGGGCCGATGGCGGAGGGAGCGGTGGAAGCCCCAGCAGAGAGTGGCGGCGGTGGCGAGCCAGGAGCCATCGAGCCGGAACGGGGAGTAGCGTCCATTAAACTTCAGTGAGTCGCTGGGTCGGGGGAGCAGTTCACGGAGCCTTCCCGGCACCCGTAGCGCGGCCCGAGCGGCGCATGCCGGGAGCTGGGGCAGCGACCCAGCGCGGGAAGCTCGCAGGTTCTTCTTCTGTTTGGGCCCTTCCTTCGCTCGCAGGGTCAGCGAGCTCCCGAGGTCGCGCACGTTGGGGACTGTCACATGTGCGAAAGACATCGCGGTCCATGCTGGGGTGGGCGGGGTTTTGAGGCGGAGGCCGCAGTGCATGCTGGGGAGTGTAGTCCCAGCATATGGCGGGAACAGCGCAAGTGCACCTCAGGCCAGCCGAAGTTACAGGCAGGGAATTGTGTCTGAAGTGAGTGCCCGGGGGCATGCTGGGGCTTGTAGGGCTGAAGGGCATGCTAGGAAATGTGGCGGTTCTGGACCCGTTGCAAGGCACGCGGGAACATGTAGTTTCCTTTAGCCTAACATAGCTGGGGGCATTCACACCTCACACCTGTACTTCGTCAGGCTGAGCACTGGGGACCCAGGAACAAAATACGTCCTCCCTGGGATTTCCCTGGTGGTCCAGTGGTAAAGAATCCGCCTTCCGATGTAGGGGACGTGGGCTCCATCCCTGGTGGAGGAACTAAGATCCCACTTGCTGGGGGGCAACAAAGCCCGCGTGCCACAACCACTGAGCTTGTGTGCTGCAAACTGCAGAGCCCATGCGCCCTGGAGTCCGCACGACACAACTAGAGAGAGAAAACCCGCACGCCACAACTAGAGAGAAGCCTGCGCGCCACAATGAAGACCACGCGTGCAGCAACTAAGACCCGACGCAGCCAAAAAATAATAATAAAGAAAATAAACAAAATAGGTCCTCCCTGTGGCCTTGAGGTGCTCCTAGGCTGGCGGCTGGCTAGTTCTAAGTAGTGAGCACCCCATCAGTAGAAGCATGTAATCAGGGACAAGGGTTCTCAGTCCCTTTCCCCAGCATTCATTGAATCTGAGCTCAGGGGAGGGACTTCTTCCACAAGCCCTCCTTTCCCCTGCCCTTCTGCTGGCAGATACCTAACCACCAAGGAGCACTTCCATGAATTCCTGGAAGCCAAAGGGCAGGAGAAGCCCAGCCAGGAAACCGAGGCTGGAGACCCTGCTGGCAATGACCTGGATGAGCCTGAGGCCAAGCGGATCCGGCTGGAGGATGGGCAGACAGAGGACAGGCAGACAGAGGAGGCTGTTGAGCCTGGGGAGCAGCCACAGGCCCAGAAGAGGGCCCGGGGTCAGAACAAATGCCGGCCCCATGTGAAGCCCACCCACTATGACAAGAACAAGCTCTGCCCCTCCCTGGTCCAGGTGAGTGTCATTGTCTCCAGAAAGTCCCAGAGGCCTTGAGTGTGAGCCTCTCTGCCCCCCATTCAATCTTCATGACGTTATGATGTAAGTATCGTTATCGTTTCCATCTTCCAGGTGAAGAAACTGAGGTTTGGTGAGGTTACTGACTTGTCTGAGGACACACAGTCAGGAGGGGAGAGAGCTGAGGTTCAAACCCAGGCTGCCTGGCTGCCTCAGCATCTCCCTGTCCTCCCTCATTGCCTCCCTGTTTCCCTGCAGGAATCCGCCGCTAAGTGTTTCTATGGCGACCGCTGCCGCTTCCTGCACGACGTGGGCCGCTACCTGGAGACCAAGCCAGCTGACCTGGGCCCCCACTGTGTGCTCTTTGAGACCTTCGGCAGGTGCCCCTATGGTGTGACCTGCCGCTTTGCCGGGGCCCATCTGGGGCCCGAGGGCCAGAATCTGGTGAAGGAGGGGTTGGTCCAGGCCCCGCCCATCCGCAATGGCCTGGACAAGGTCCTGCAGCAGCAACTGCGAAAGCGCAAGATCCACTTCAAGCGTGCAGAGCAGGCCCTGCGCCAGCTGAGCAAGGGCCAGCTGCCAGGCCCCACTCCCAAAGCCACTGTCCCCGAGGTCATGGAGGCTGAGGGTGCCCCAGGGCAGGACAACTGTGACGCCCAGCAGGCCCCCCAGGGGCCGGGCACCGTTCCCCCTCCCAGGGGCCCTTTAAGGACCTGCGGGCCCCTGACAGATGAGGATGTAGTCAGGTTGCAGCCCTGTGAGAAGAAGCGGGTACGTGTCATGGGGTTCCTGCAGAGGACACTAGCAATGTTGGGGGCAGATAGAGATGGACACTCACTCCCAGCTCTGGAGGGTCCAGGCTGTGGCAGAGGGGGGCAGTGGGAAAGGCTTCTTGGAAGAGAGGGCATTGGGACTGGGGTTTTGACAGTTGAGTAGAAGTTTCTAGTGGAGGAGAACATGGAGAAAAGAACATTCCTGGTGCAGGGATTGGTTGGCCTGTGCGGAGGCACTGCGGTGAAAGGGATCCAGGCTGACTGGGGCAGATCAAAGCATGTGGGGCAGAGACCTGGGGAGGCTGGAGGCTTGAGAGGCCTTGAAAGCCACGTTGGAGGATGGAGGTTCATTGTGCATTTTCTTTCCCACCAGCTGGACATCAGTGGCAAACTGTACCTTGCTCCCCTCACCACGGTAGGACCCACAGTGAGGTGGGCCGGGAGCTGGCAGCGTGGTCATCCCAGCAGTACCCACTGCCTCCCCGCCCTGGGGGCTTGGGGCCTGGGAGGGTGTCTGGGGTCCCTGCCTGCCGTGCCCTCACATGTGACTCTGTCCCCTGCTGTCGTCAGTGCGGGAACCTGCCCTTCCGGCGGGTCTGTAAGCGCTTTGGGGCAGATGTGACGTGCGGGGAGATGGCTGTGTGCATCAACCTGCTGCAGGGCCAGACGTCTGAGTGGGCCCTGCTCAAACGCCACCCCTGCGAGGATGTCTTCGGTGTCCAGGTCGGTGCAGCCCCGAGCGAGGGAGGGAGGGAAGGAGGGAGGGAGGAGGGGCTCTCAGCCGCCATGTTTCAGAGCCACGTTCAGGTCCGGGCTCTCCTGGCTCACCTCCCAGACCCCCTGCCTGAGCCACAGGCCAGGTGCCAGCCTGATGCACCTCCAGTAGCTGCTGGCCTTGGCACAGGGCCAGGCAGGGAGGGCCCCTCACCCACTGCCCGGCCACCCGCCACAGCTTGAGGGCGCCTTTCCCGACACCATGACCAAGTGTGCCGAGCTGCTGAACCGCACCATCGAGGTGGATTTCGTGGACATCAACGTCGGCTGCCCCATCGACCTCGTGTACAAGAAGGTACCAGCCGCTCAACCCTGGCGCCCCACGGGGGGCAGAATGTGGGTGGGCGGAGTCCCTGGGGAACCTGTGGGGGCCTGTGGGCCTCGCTTTCCCCATCTGTACAGAGAGGACAGCAGGGGGTGTCGGGCCCAGCCAGAGTCACGCGTTCCTAAGCCCGAACCGCCCGTCTCTCCCAGGGCGGGGGCTGCGCCCTCATGAACCGCTCAGCCAAGTTCCAGCAGATCGTCCGCGGCATGAACCAGGTACAGCCCGAGACACCCTCCACTGCCGCCATTCCCCGCGGCCTGACCCCGGGCCCCACCAGCCACACCCGTCCCCGCAGGTGCTGGACGTGCCACTGACCGTGAAGCTCCGCACGGGTATCCATGAGCGCACGAATCTGGCCCACCGGCTGCTGCCCGAGCTGCGGGACTGGGGGGCTGCGCTGGTCACGGTGGGTCTCGGGGCACAGCGGGTGTTGGGACTCCCGAGGCGCATCCCTTTCTAACCATTGCCTCCCTTCCTGCCCCTTCCTCCTGGTCTTTGGCTCTCCCTCCATCTCTGTCTCCGTCTGTCTGTCTGTCTCTCTCAGTCTGTCTCTCCGGGGCTCTCTGGGTCTTCTTCTCTCTCTCTGTCTCTGTCTGATTCTCCGCCCTCTGCCCCTCCCCCCCACCTGGCTGCCTCTCCTCCAGCTCCACGGCCGCTCGCGGGAGCAGCGCTACACCAAGCTGGCCGACTGGCGGTACATCGAGCAGTGCGTGACAGCAGCCAGCCCCATGCCCCTTTTCGGTGGGTCCCCTGCCACCGGAGGCCACGCACCGGGGCCCACCCCTTGCCTGGGCCCCCTCCTGCCCCAATGGGGAATGCTGCTGGGCTGACGAGAACTCCCGAAGCCCCGGCATTCCCACCTGCACGCAGCTCCCTGAGGCCCCAGTCTCTGTCCCTCAGGAAACGGGGACATCTTGTCGTACGAGGACGCCAACCGCGCCATGCAGACTGGCGTCGCTGGGATCATGATCGCCCGGTAAGTGTGCTCAGGGTGGGGATACAAAGAACCAGCCGGGGCTGCCCCTGAGCACCCAGGCTTTGGCTCGGGGAAGGTGAGGGCGCGTCTGAGTTTGTCCCCGACGCCGGTGCCCCCAGCCCGCCTGCCCACCCACTGCTCTGTTATTCCCCGGGCAGGGAGATGTCAGAGGTGGCAGCTTATGGGGCTGAGGCGGGGGACTGGACATTTCTGTAGCTGTGGGCTCAGGGTTGTGGCTTGGAACTCTTGGGCTTTGAAGGTTGTGTGAGCATGGCCGGGAGGTTGGGGACCATGGGTTTGGGGGCTGGGGTTCCGCCACCGGCCTGCTGACCACCGCCCACCCGCAGTGGCGCCCTGCTCAAGCCGTGGCTGTTCACGGAGATCAAGGAGCAGCGGCATTGGGACATCTCGTCGTCTGAGCGCCTGGACATCCTGCGGGACTTCGCACACTACGGCCTGGAGCACTGGGGCTCGGACACGCAGGGCGTGGAGAAGACACGCCGCTTCCTCCTTGAGTGGCTCTCCTTCCTGTGCAGGTGGGATTAGTGGGGCGGGGCGGGGTGCCTTGGGGAGGCCCGGCCCAACCCCATCCCCGGCGCCCCCGTCTGCAGGTACGTGCCCGTGGGCCTGCTGGAGCGGCTCCCGCAGAGGATCAATGAGCGGCCGCCCTACTACCTGGGCCGCGACTACCTGGAGACGCTCATGGCCAGCCAGAAGGCGGCCGACTGGATCCGCATCAGGTGCCCGGGAACCGCCAAGGCCCTGGGAGATAGTGCACCAGGGAGCCAGCGGGTGTGGGGCCAGCTGGGCTGGGGGCCGCCCTGCCCCAGGCCTGACCCTGCTCCCGCCCTCCTCACAGTGAGATGCTGCTGGGACCCGTGCCACCCAATTTCGTCTTCCTGCCCAAGCACAAGGCCAACGCCTACAAGTAGCTGCAGGGGTGGGCGGGGGTGTCTGAGCGCCCAGCGGGCTCCCCAAGGAATGAAAAGGCAATAAATTTTATTCTTTTAAAACCCAGCCCCTTTTGTGACCCTGAGACTGTCTCATGCTGCCCCCCCCCCCCCCCCCCCCTTTCCCCCCCCCTCCCCCCCCCCCCCCCCCCCCCCCCCATTACCCGGAACCCTGACCAGTGGGTCGGCCACAGCCTGGAATCCGCTGCCTGGAGTAACCGGAGAAACAGAACTCCGCAGGACTCTGTGCCTCCGCTCTGGGTGGGCTGCCTGTGCTCCCACTTGCTGCCCTCCTGGCCTGCGCGGCCAGGCCCCCGCCTCCCCATGCAGCACCCCAAACACTTCTACACACTCGCCGCTCCCCAAGAAGCCTTCAGTCCCCAGAGCCTGGACGCCACCGAAGGGCCCGGCAGCCAGCCTGCTTCTGCCTGCACAGAGCCTCTTCCTGTTGTGGGTACGAGGGTGGGGAACACCCATCGGGGCAGGGACCAGGGCTCTGCCCGCCGGCCTCAGGACCCCACCCAGCTGCCTGTTTTTGTCCACAGGTTCCTCCAACGTCTGTCACCCCCCAAACCTGGAGAAAGAGGTGTTTCCAGCTCCTCCAGCAGGTACCGGCCTCCCACCAACCCTTGATGACTGGGGAGCGGGCAGGGGCATCTTGCTCCCACCCCTGACCCTAGGTGGCTCCCGCCTCCGAAGGCAAGGCCCGAATCCCTGTCCTCCAGAGAGACCCCTGGACCAAGGTCTGTGTCCATCATCCCCTAGCTGGGGCCCTGAAGCCAAAGCCTGTCTCTTGTTCCCCAAACAGGTCTCCCAAAGCCAGGTCGGTGTCCCCGCCCCCCAGATGGGCCCCCAGAGCAAGGCCTGGGTCCCCTGACCTCTAGAGAGGGCCCCAAAGGCAAAGCCTACGTGCCTGTTCCCCAAATGGACCCCGAAGTTGGTCCGTGTTCTCCACGCCCCAGACGTGCCCCACGGTTTGGACCTCCCCCACCCCAGGCGGGTCCCAGGACTGCCCCTCTCAGGGCCGCCCCCCTGGCCACAGGTTTCCAGATGGCTCCCTGCGGCTGCTTCTTCGACCCCCGCGTCTACCGAATCGAGTGGACCACCACCGACGTCGACCAGTCGTCCCTGTACCAGCTGGCGGCCAGGGGCCCCGCCTCGCCGGGCACCTACTTCCTGGACGCACAGCACTGCCTCAGGGCCCCGGTGCCGCCCCCACTGTTACCCCACTACCAGCCGCCTCCCGCGGGGCCCCGGTACCGCATGCCCTGCTTCCCGCCCGAGGGGCCCGGGCCCGAGGCCCTGGGCTTCGTAGGGGACGGAGTGCCCCCCGCCTTGGTCAAGCAAGGCCTGGCGCCCCTGCTGCCCCCCAAGGAGAGCGAGCTGCCCCCGCTGCTCATCACGCTGCCCGCCGAGGCCACGCTGCCCCCTGGCGCCTATGGCCCTCTCAGGGGCCGCTTGACCCAGCTGGATGGGCCCGGCGAGCCCCTGACCTTCACCTTCAAGGAGCCGCCCCCTGGCGCCGGGCCCAGCCTGCTGTACCCGCCGGGCCCCACCGAGCCCAAGGCGGCCCCGCTGGGGCCAGGCGAGGCCAGGACCCCTGAGGTGGCCAGGGCCTTCACGCCGCCCAAGAAGGTGATGCTCGAGGACGCGATGAAGCTCTTTGACTGCCTGCCGGGCGGCTCCGAGCCCGCCGGGGCCCCATGCAAGTCCCCTGGGCCTGCCCTGCCCAACAGCGGGGGCAGTGGGAACGGCTCGTTCAGCGACATCCGCTCATTGCACCTGCCCGACGAGCTGCTGTCCTCGGACTACAGCGTGCCCGAGGTCCTGGATATCGTGTCCGACATGGACTTCTTTTACAACTTAAAGGCGCTGGACGAGGAGCCGCCGCCCTGCCCGGGGGTGCCCCCCACCGCCAAGCCCGGCAAGAGGAAGGCCGGCAACCCGACTGCCAGGAAGGGGAGGCAGGGCAGCAAGGGCAAGCAGGCTGTGGTCCCCACCAGCGCCACCCCACTGGGGCCCAGGCAGGACCTGGGAGCCGCCCCCCATTAAAGCGGATTTGAGCTGTTTGCGCAGTGTCCGGTCGGTGGCATTCGGGGGCCGTGGGCTGTCCCCTTGCCCGCCCTGTCGTCCAGCGGGCCCCAGGCCACGTGGTGAGGCCCCTCAGGACCCTGGCACCTTCTGGGTGCCGGGCTTCCAGAGTAGAGTCGGGGAGCCCTAGACTTGGGGTTCGGGACAATCCCTCGTCTCCTAGCACCAGAAAATCCAAGTCAGCCGGCAGGGATGGGGGGCTGCTAGGAGGTGGGGAGACACTGCCCGGACTCCTGCACCGCAAGGATTTCACCTCCATGTTTGATGGGGAAAGTCAGATCTGCCCAGAGATGGGCAGGAACTTGCCTGGAGACACAGCAGCAAGCGGGGTGAGGCCTGGGGAGAGGCCTGCGGGCTGAGCTCGGCCTCAGCCCAGGTGGAGGGGCGGGTGTCGCCGATGGTGAATGGGAAGGCGTCCGCTCGTGTTCACGCGGAGAGCTGGGGGGCCTGGGGTGCAGAGGCAAGTGCTGGGTGGAGGTCTGAGAGTGGGGGCAGGGCAGGCATGTGGGAAACGGTGTCCACCTGGCACACGGGTGACCCAAACGGGCATGCACGTGTTGGGGCGTGCAGAGTGCACCTGCAGCAGCGGCATTGTGACATCTCGTCGTTGATGGTCCCCCAGGTGCCTGGAGCCCTGCAGTCCCCCACGGAGCCCCTGCCTCTTCACATCCCCCCAGCTGGGGGCCAGAGGCCAGGGTGGGCGTGCCTGTCCCAGGATGGGCATCCAGCCAGGCCCCGGGTGCTGAGTCTCCGCCTCGGGCCCAGCCACACCTGGGTTCTGCTTCCCGGGGTGGGGGTGGGGGGCGGGCACAGGGCGGGCTTGCGGTGGTTTGGGAGCTTCAGTGCTCACACCTGTTCCCTCCTGCCCCAGCTGCTTCCCTCTCCAGTCCACGGAGCTCCCTCCCCGCTGTACCCTGGGCCAGGCTCTCGTCTGCCTTTCGCTTCTGGAGAGCCCAGGGCAGCTGCCAGCCGCACCCTCCCCTGAAATACTCCAGGCGACTGAAGGGGGTGAGTCGGTTTCTCAGTGACACCTAAGGAGGTAAGGAGAGATGGACCGCCCCTTGCCTGCCAGAGGAAGGGGCCCTCCTGCCCCAGGCCCTGGGCTGGGTCTCAGGGACCTTCCCTGCTGGGGCACCCCGGGCGCTTGATTAGGACCCAGGAGGTGGCCGCGTGTGGGCAGGGGGTCTTGGCTGCCGGCACCACGCCTTGAGCCTGCGGGTTCCAGGGCTCGGAGACCGAGGTGGCCAGCCAGGCTGGGCTGTACCGGGATCATCGCCTGTCTGTGTTGTGAACAGGATGCGGGCCTGGAGGAGCTAGGAGCTCCCTTCCCTCACTTCCCTCTGAGCCTGCTGTGCCTGCAACCGTGTTAGGGGTATTTTCGAGACAAATATGAAGTACCCCCAAGAAGGGAAGGCCCTGGCAAACGAGGCGGATGCGACAGGATGGGCTTGGTTTTCTTTAAGATTAATGTGGGCCGAGGGTCGTGAAACGAGTATCACCTGACAGCCTAACCCGTCCCCTCCAGAGAGGCGTGGAAGGTGGACCAGGCAGCCCCCGGAGGTGCGGGTGAGGTGACTGCCCACTGCAGTGGGTGTGGGAGTGGACGTGTTTCTGTTTCTGTTTTTTTTTTTTTTTTTTGCGGTACGCGGGCCTCTCACTGATGTGGCCTCTCCCGCTGCGGAGCACAGGCTCCGGATGCGCAGGCTCAGCGGCCATGGCTCACGGGCCCAGCCGCTCCGCGGCATGTGGGATCTTCCCGGACCGGGGCACAAACCCGCGCCCCCTGCATCGGCAGGCGGACTCCCAACCACTGCGCCACCAGGGAAGCCCGGGAGTGGAGGTTTTTAATGACTGGGTGGAGACCGTATTGGGCAATTTTTTTTTTTTTTGGCCGAGCCACTTGCGGGATCGTAGTTCCCGACCAGGGATTGAACACAGGCCCCAGGAGTGAAAGCACAGAGTCCTACCACAGGACCGCCAGGGAATTCCCAGTATTGGGCAGTTTAAATGAGCGTCAGATGTGTTCTTTTAACCTAAGAGTGATCAGAAAAGTTAATGAGAAAGTTTTCACTAGAATGAGACAGCTGTCCCATGCCACCTGAGGTTTGAATGAAGTGTGGGAGAGGGAAGTTCTGAACAGGTGGATAGACTGATCAAACGTACATATACACGTATGTGTACATTGTATGCACACCTATACGTGTACTCATATGTGCATATACGTATCTGTACACATGCATACACGCATGTACACTGGGCATGCATGGTATCTACACGCATGTGTGCACATTATACAGTGCTCGTATGTGACATATACACATCGCCCACGCATGCATGCACATGTGTACATGAACGTGTATTATAGACATATGCACACACATGTAGATCGCAAACATACATGTGCATGCATGTACACATCTGCACATAGGCAACATGCATGTACATGCACACACAGGCACACTCACACATACACACCACACACGTGCATGTGTATGCCTTACGCACCTACATGTTATATACATGTATGTATACACACCTCTGCACACACATGTACATGCACGTGTGTGCATCGTATGTATGCATAACACTGGTACATGTAAAATATGTGCTATGCTTCCAAATTTTATTCGTGGACATTACAAAACACACGTAAGCGTGTCGGTCTGTGTATATGTCAGGGCTCATCAACAGAGGTGGACCCACCCCCCGTCCCCGTCTTCTGCAGCCCCCGCCCTTTTCCTTGGGTCTCATGTTTCTCTAAGAGAACACGTCAAGTGTCCGATGCATCTCTGGGGCTTGCCGATTAGTGCTCCCACCACATGCCGGTGCGGGCTCATTTCACCAAAAGCTCGTGTTCGCTAGGACTTGGGCTGCCCACCTCCTTACTGTTAACAGCCCACGTAGGTGCCGTAGTTCAAAGGGACTCTGGCGCCAGAATGTTGAGGGGGGCAGGTGGGTGTAGAAAAACCACAAACC